GAGACATGCACTGCACCACCACATGGACTTGCACAACGACAGAAGCAGCCAGAGGATGGGAGCAGGGATCAAGCATCAGGAGAAAGATAAGCCCAGTCAGCTCAAGGAGCTCCCACTGTGTTGAGATCACTGCCCTGGCCTGACACTGGTGGCACCAACACCAGGGTGGGCTGCTCACTGCAGCACTCCACAAAAACACAGACAAGAACCTCCCCTGGATTTATTCATGTTTAACCAATAACTAACTTTAAAACATTTCCTCCTGAAGCGCAACTGTTCTGCCTCAGAAGACTTCCCTTAAAAAGATGTTATACAAGGCAAACTCAGAAGCAGACAGGGCTGGGAATTTTTCAGTGCAAGTTTTTCCACTGGAGGACAACAATTTGGCGAAACCAAAACTCTACAACTTCCACTGAAAGTCTGACAAAACTTCAAACAAAAACCATTTCTCAGGTCCAGGATGGAATTTTTTCTGTTAAAAACAAGAGCATGTACACGATAGCAGAGCAGAGAGCAGGCTTTTGGGATGGGAGGTGTCCAGTCAACAGGTTACTGATGGCTATGGATCAGTCATGCTCTTTCTTGAGTGATTTTTTATTAAAACAGTTGAAAGCTTTCAAAATCATTTCAGAGTGACATGGGAGGGAAAAAAGGTGAAAATTGAAAAAGTGACACTTGTGTGAGACGGGGAAGTATTTTCTAGCTGGACTATCTGGTTCTCTGGATAAGATTTATGTCAGGTTTTGAGACAGTTCTCTGGCAAATTTCCCAGTCTGACACATATGCCTTTTTTAGGCTTTAAGTACAATTCAGTGGGCAGCAGTGATAAAGGTCAGACGAAGAGCAGCAGAGGTACAAAGCAAACTGTAAATCCCTTTGGGGAATAAAAGAAACTGTAGGTTCTTTTGGCATTGTTATGGGCTGCCCAGGGAAGTGGTGGATTCTCCGTCCCTGGAGGTTTTTCAGATGAGACTGGAGGTGACACTCAGTGCCATGGTCTAGTAACCACAGAGGTAGTGGATCAAGACTTGATCTCAGAGGTCCCTTCCAACCCAGCTCATTCTATGTTTCTATGATTTTAGTCAATGGAAGAATAAAGATGGATAGCGATGTCATTTAAAACTTCTCCCTCTCTGGAAGTTTCTGTATGAGGACTGATCAATCAATAACCCATTTCAGAACCAAGGGCACCCAGGGTGCTTTCCCAGTCCCCACAGATCTCTTTATTTTCCATCAAGACAAAGCACCAACACAACTAGTTCACTCCAGTGAAACTGCTCTGCACCAACAGTCAGATACCAGCACTCACATGGCTTTGGATAATTCACGCTCACTTTTTAAAGTTAAAGAACAATGATTTATGTCTTTAAAGGCACAGCAAACGTATTTTAAACTCTATAAGACAGACAGAAAGCTTCATATATTTGTAACATTTGGTGCTAATTTACCAACTTTATTTTTTGCACCTTTTTGACATTATTGAGTCTATGTAGTTCTAAATTCCTCCTTCACCACACCCAAGTTAATGGTAACCAACTAAAAACTGGTCATGGGTTCTAGCACATGACCTTAACAGGAGTCAGACAGTGATTAGATCTCAGACTTTTGATATCCAAAATCATAGCAGAAGTGGCCCATCTTTTTATTATTTACACAGATTTAATATAGTTCAGCTGCTTTGCAACAGAACAAATATGGAACCAGCTTCCCTGTTACTCTGTCTTATCCTTATTTTGCACTGCATGGACTTTAATTCCTACTCTATCATGAAAGATTTAAATGGAGAGAGTAAGTCCTCACTGGCAAAACAAAAGAACCACTGTCAACATCTCCCACTGAAGCCTGAGGGCAACTGTTCCTGTGCAAATCTCTAGCCTGAAGACTGCAGCAGTAAAATAATTCAGTGCCAGAAGGTACCTTGTTTCTGCTAACAGCCATGTTCCCAGCATTCAGAACATGCAAGTTCTTAGGTTCAGGAATTCCTTGGATTTTAGTACATACAGGCTGGACAGGCTGGTATCCTGGTATAGAAGCAGTGCATGTTTCTTGGCTGATATGAAGCAAGACAGCTGAAGTTTTATGACTTAGGATTTCAAGTTCCACAGTTTCAGACTTCCCTGCCTGGCACTACAACCTCATTACAATCATGGCCTCAAGCAGCAATGATTTTTTTATTCTGCCTGTATCACTATGGTTGAAGTCTAACTAGGCAATAAGCTGCTAAGATGAAGTGATACTTTGCAGGACAAAGCCTGGCAAGTTGTTCTTCAGCTAGGGATCACAGCAGAGACAGGTATTTGGGAAGTGGAATAATGGAACATTAACCAACAACCTCAGGCCAAAGTGCCACAACAGTCAATTCTTCTGTTCCTCTTTCCTGTAAACTCACTCAGAAACCATCAAAGCATTACTGGTACAATATATTAGTAGACTGAAATAACACCCAGCAGCCATCACTTCTTTGCTGTGGAGCAGACAAGGGACATGATTACACAAGAGGGGTAATGCCAACCCTTCACTGAAAGCAGAGGGATCTGTCCCCACAGAACTGCCACAGGAGAACACAGAGTACACCCTGTACCTGACACACAGCCACGGGCAGCAGCCAGAGGAGGAGGCACCAGCCAGAGGAGGAGGCACCAGCAGATGGGGCCTCACAACAGGTACTGTACCCTCTCCTGGGGTTTCCTGAGAACCACGCAGCTCAGCCTCAGAAGAAATGGCCTCCTCTGCACAGCTCTCTGCACGGTGCTCGTGCCACTCAGTGTCCCTGAAAGTCAGGAGCAGGTTGTTTCAGTTTCCATAGTTATCAATTTCCAAACTACCAATTCACTTAATTTAAAAAATACTTTCATTAAAAACTAATCACAGGAAAAGCTTACAAGCAGCAAATCTCCTTTACAAGAAATCCTTCAGAGAATATGACTAATGTACCTGTACTTTTTAAATATAATAAAACATTGAGTCAAGGCCTACTCATATTCTTATTCTGATTTTTTTTCTTTTGTTGTTTTCTCCTTACAACCTTTCAATTCCCTTCTGGATGGAAAAAAACATCAACTTAGTTTCTGAACACAAGTAAAAGTCCTTTCACTTCTACTTAGAATTCAGGATTCTCACAAAGTACTGCAGTGCAAGAGGCCCCACACAACCCTTTTATCTGCAGCAGAAAGGGAAATGCTTTTCATTTTCAGGGCACTGCAGAGTACATCTGGAGTTCTCCCAAACACAATGATCTTGAACTTGCTGTTTGCTTTGGTTTTTTCCCCTCTCTGCTTCTACTGATTTGCAGAGAATGTCCAGGCACACAGACTTAAAAATATTATTTAGACCTGTGTGTCCAAATTCTACACATGGAAACCACAAAAACCACTACTAATTGTCTTTGTAGAACACATTAAAATGTACCAATTAACACTGCTATTCATGAGTTGGGTATTATTACAGAATATCAAGAATAAGAAGCTACATATACAACACAAACTTCAGATAATATTAGTGTTGAAGTGGTCAAAGAGTAAACACAATACCTTTTTTAACACTGGCTAAGCTACCTGGTTACAGGACTGGGTGATTTTCCTCCCACCAAGTGTTTGGCAAACACAGATTTTTCTTCTTGTTATTTCTTTTCACTCACATAATTTCCAGTTTAAATATTAAATTAAGTGGCTTAGATCACTTTAAGTTTCCCATGAAAAGAATAATCATCCTTGGGGGAAAATGAGTGAGAAAATTAACATGTGTACATGTGTAGAGTTATTACTGATGCTTTTGCAAACACTTCTGCTGAATATTTGTGCTTCCTGTTTAACATCAGAAATTTCTCTCCCACAGATCTTGGTTTCACTCTTCGTTTTTTCCTTAGGCATTTAAATGGAACCTTTTGACATTTTTGTTTAGCCACACACTGCTAAGAGTTTCGGAGGCAGAAATAATACTGCTCTATGAGACATGTCATAAATTATATGTCTCATAAAATATTATATGTCTCATAAAATACTGCTCCAGTTTCTCTCAATGTAGAATCTAAATGTACAGATTTTCGTAGATACCAGACAAGTAACCACATGGAAAACTTTACAAGGATACAGAAACCAGCATTAGGGAAAAATCATTTAGCCATATAATAGAAAATGCTCTGAAAGCAATGTCATAAACACAGGAGCTAAGTTGGGAAGGTAACTGTCCCTGGATTACGACTGGAAAAGCCCTCTGATGGTCTGAAGCTGGATGTATTGAACTGGCTGATCAGGTACTTTTTGACCACAGCAATCCGGGAGTTAATTGTAATAAAGCAATAAAATGACTTTGGGAACGAAGGGAGATAAGCTCTGGAGATGAGTGTATTTTTTCAGAACTACGTGTCACCCTTACTTGTATTATTAAGAAAAAGTGTGTTATTTTATCACTAATTCCACTGGGGAAAAAGAAGTGAGACAAAATCAGGAGACAGAATTTATAAGGTAAGTGCTCCAAAGCTGTACATCAAAACGAAGAAACTCCTCAATGCAAATCACTTCTTGGTTTCTGTGAGATCAGGATTAGGACTGGATTATTCAGAAGGAGGCACAAAGTTCCTGCAAAATGTAGCAGTGAAATTTCACTCTCATTTACTCATGAAGATGTCTAAAGCAGAGTCAGCACCTTCCCCAGGTAACGGGGGAGGCAGTGTCATAGCTAGAATGACAACATGGGAGCCTCTAAACCACATCCCTGTTGAAGGTCACACTTCACCACACCTGGTAATCCTACAAAAACACATCAGGACTCGACAGAAAGGGAGAAATTAATATACAGTCTTCTAGGAGAAGAGGAAGAATTAAGACTGTACACCCAGGTGAAGAGGGAAAACCATGCATTACCCCACACAAGGACACACTACACAGCATAGGGGGAAACCCCTGAGTTCTACATATGAATCACATTTGTTAATAATGAAATTATAACACAAACCACAAAAGGTATTCTGCATTGGTCTTTCTTCTTTTTGTTAAAAAAAGATAGGAAATGGGGACAAAATTGCTACTGTTTCTCGCACTCTAAGAGAAACGTGTCTCAATCGCACAGACTTTGTACTTCAAGTTTGGGAGAACCTGGGAGATCAGTCTGGGCATGGGAAGATAACATTTGGAACAGTAAGTATTCAAAATGAAGCCCTTGGTCCTTCCCTCATTGTCTTGCTTCCTGTCTCACACAAGTGGTTGTGGAGCCACGGGAACGACTGCTCCCTTTAGTCCCTAAATACCAACATAATTTAGGTTGTGCTGTATTTGCAACGTGAAGGAGAGGGTCTCAAAGACTCTGAAACTGTTTTACTTAATAATAATCATGAACACAGCTGCAGAGAAAACCTGCAAGCCAGTACACCATGAACAGTCAGGCCAGCCTCCACCTGCCCTGGCTCTGGCCAGGATTCAAAGCAGTGATTTTTCTCTTTGGAAAATGCAGCCCATGAGATGAAAGAACTTGTCTCCACACTCTTGGTAAAACATCTCACCTGCATGCTGCACTCCATACTCACACCACCCATATGCATATCCCGCTTTCTAAATGACCCTCCTGAAACTACACTCATTGATTAGTGTAAGATAAGCTACAGCCTTTTATTCCACAGACAAATGCACCAAATTTTACGTGCAGAAAGGTCCGAGCTGAGAAACTCCACCTAAAATTTGATCCAAATTTCTGCTCCGTACCATTTCTGCATTACCACTGCCCTGTGCATTATCAACTAGAATTCCTCAACATAACTGGGCTCCTCCATGAATCTGGCAACACAGTTCAGGTCTAGGTTTAAAGAGTGGAAAGGCAGTGAACTCCTGAATTTTGAAGCCTCAACCAGTGTTTTCTAAGGAGTGATATTTTTGGTTTGGGAATAAATGCACACAAACAAACAAACAAACAAATCTACTATGATCTTTTGTATCAGTGTCACAAAAGGCTTCAGAAAAGCCCATGAAGACTCTTACTATTCCATTTTCTACAGTAGTTGAGTCCTGTTTTAACATAAAGCCAAATCACAATTGTTCCAATGTGACAGTCACTTCTGATGGTTTTGGCAGCAAATGCAGTATGAATTTTGCTATTACACTACAAAAAAAAAAGGAAAAAAAGACATTTTGTAGCCCCACTGGCTCATTGTCACACTTCCTAAAAAAACACAGAATGGACTCTTGGATTAAAAGAATCAGAGAATCCTCTTGCCATCCTCTCGATGTTGGCATCCTGAGAGGTCCATCCTATCCATTACATTTGCTTTTTCCTCTACTGCTTTAAGAAACAGTTGGTCAGTTCAATTCAGCAGTAAATTTTCTCATTTTCTTGAATTCTCAGTATTTTCAAGAGATTTTAATGTCCAATATTATCAGCTGATATCATCTCCCTTTTTCAAAAGATAGAATCACTTGCCTCTGCCATCAGGGGAAGTAATTTTCAGCCATAAAGTGTTTTACTGAACTCCAAAATACTCAGAATTCCAAAACTAAAAACACCTCACCAGAAAGAGAAAAAAGAAATCAATATAACCCATATATCAATAAGCTTCAATTTTTAGATGCTTGTGCTAACAATGGCTAAGTCTGACACTCAGTAACCAATTGCACTATCTTGACAGGACAAGAAAGAACCATCAGCATTATATGTCCATTTAAAACAGGAGGAATCAAAATCTGAGGGTAATTTCATGTCAAAATACGAAAAAAAAAAAATAAAAATCATATTACACCAAAACAAAATCACAAAATCTTTCAAATAGGAGATGTTTTACAGTGATAATATTTCATTTCCTTCTGGAAACATCAAGAGTTTTTTCTGAGGTCCTCAAAAGCTGCTCAAAGCCTCCAATTTTGCACAGAAAGCTAATTACCAGAAAAGGCTTCTGCAGAGTAGGGATTGGGAACCAGTGACAAAAGTCTGCTGCTTTACTTCAATACCTGGTTCAAATCTTTACACCTCAATCTAGGAAAAAATGACTTGTATTAGATCTGCTCATTAAAGGTTGAAAGAAGAATTATTTGCAATAAAAAGAATATATTACATAAATTCAGCATATAAGGGTAACTATCCCTATGTAAAATCCTGAAGTGTACAGGATATTTACACCCTATTTGTATTTACAGTATTAATGGGCTACATCCTGCATTACACTGAACTCCTTCACTTTTCCATTGTCCAGAGGCGGACAGTACCTTTATGTTCACCTGTTTTTATGTGGGTTTTTTGGTCCATCCTGTTCTCCCTTCCCACCCTTGATTCTCCTCTGTGCAGTGTGGCCATTCCCAAAGCAACATGTTAACGTTTGGATGCAAATGTCATTCCACTGACAGGAGCACTATGAGGTGATTACAGTCCAACAAGCCACAGTCGTTTTTACACATCTGTGACTGGTGTTCTCTGTGGTTAAAAAGGGAACTTTTCACTGCTCACACATTTACTGTTCCCCACTTTACCTCATGGTTGTACTACTGACATGCCAAATCCAAATCTTTTTTTTTGAAGGGGCACAAAATGACACGTTCAAGGACTTCTTGGCTCCTACTACATCAACTCCTTTATATAACTAAAACTTTTAAACTGGGATCTGAACAGCGCAGGGGGACAAAATGCTTACTCTCTCATGCATTTGGTTATGGAATCTATGACTGAAGTTGCTATGATGCATTTGCCACCAATAAATCACTGTCAATCTTTCCTGCAGCGAGACATGGAAAATGAAAAGTACAGTAATTTGAATAACGGTGGGAAGGCCAATACCCCCGAAAATTTCTCCATCGCTTTGGCTTCCACTGCCAAATTTGTCACTAAGAAAGTCCAGAGACCAAGTGACAAACCAGCACTAAAATTTCAACCTCCCTTTCCACAGTACATTCTACTGACCTTCATATCTGCCTGTTGAAGCAGAGAATCATCCAGAGCAAGGCTACACAATGTAATTGTGTAATTTAAACTTGCACTCTGTGGTTTAATAGGTTTCTCACATGCTATTGAGATGGTGAGAATTGAGCAAGAAGAGTATAAACTCTAATCAGATCACTGTGGTCCTTTGTGAAACCTCTAACTACATGATCGAAGCTTCAGTTTCCTGCACTTTTTATTACTGGTGAGCAAAAGTTAATGGTAACAGATATGATGAGGTCACAGAGCAAATGGCTTCATGGTATTTGGATACTTCAGCCCACTTGCCTCAGATTATAACCCATTGCTTCAGAAGAGCAATTGTGAAAATCAGTCCTACTCTTTCTGCTACTGTGCTGTTCAGTCTTGCATTTCTGCAAAGTGCTTCCAGAGCTGCAGAAATGCAAAAACTTCTTTCCCAAACTCCAAAAAACTTCGATGCACAAGGCTTAACTCTGCTGAACACAACTTTTCTAGGAATCATTACTACCCATGACTACTTAGGAGCACGTTCAGCATAACACAAAGCAGCTTCTCTCCCGTATTTATACAGTTAACAGAAAGGATCTGGATTTCACTTGTCATGGCTGGGCGTTATTATAACATGAATAACAGGAATAGTGCACACATTTGAACTGAAAACATGTTCTAGGTCTGAAGGGTTTCACACCTCTTGCAATTCTGCCACCTAACCAGTCTCCACTGGTTAGGAATTTAATACTCCAGTCTCCTCACTGGCCAAGTACCACAGACATTCACTCTCCCCATTACAACACAGATGTTGGGAAAACTTGTTTCTACCAATACCTACAGATCTCTCCAGAGCATTCCATGATGCTCTTTCGGCACTAAAGGGAAGAACTGCACTGTAATTTCTGAGTTCCCCATTTAGACTGAGAGATGGGCACGAGCTGATACAGGTGCTACACTGATGGTCCAGATCACGACTGAGTAAGAACACCCAGATCTCCTCCCAGCCCACGCAACTGCATTTCCTTTCTGAGAAACCCAAGGCACAGAGGGAAGGTGACGCACGTACGGGTCCTGCACGGCCACGGCGTCGTGACGTGGCTGGGGCAGACATGTAGATCTCAGGGCAGCTGCTCTCCTGAAATCACCACAGTATGAAACGTGCTCCTACCACACTGGGATCTGGAATTTTTATTGTGTGCTCACACACACTGCTGAGACCTTGAGCAGCTCTAATCACTGTACTGACGTTCTTATGGCCAGTCAACTGACTGTGATTTTTCTACACATAAAACACTTGTGTCGAGTTTATGGTTTTTAAATGAACCAGGGATGCTGAACTGCTGTGCCTAATACAAACAAATGCAGAGTAAACTCGTAAAACTTATCTAGACAGGAAAAAATATTTTAATAGTAACAAAGAATTGCAGACACACATGAAATTCAGCTTGTCTACTACAGCACTTGTGTTAGGACCAAAGATGGCTTTGCTCCATCCGTGTTAGTAAAATCATCTTCAACATGAATGAAAAAACCAGAACACTCCTTAGCTCTGAATCCCCCTGACACCCACAGAGGATTTTTCTAGGAAAAGATACCTTTTCTTCAGCTTTGTGTTTAAATTCATAGCATGCCAGGTCCCTAGTATGGAAATTTGCCCTGGTAATCACTACTAAATTTGCATTTGTATTCATTATTTTTGTGGTGTATCCCTTAAAACTCTCACTCTTGAAAATGAAGCAAATTGCAACTATTAGTTGTTTTTGGTGAAATAGGGGAAGGGATGCAGTGCTCTCATTTCCAAAGATAAACAGCAGAATTTCAAAGGGCTCAGGCAAGGACAACAAAACAAATCAAATTTCTGTTGTTTTGTTGGTTTGTACAGCAAATAAGTAGAACAGGAAAAAAAGCCTAGAAAGTTCCACGTAATTTTGAGTGTCACAGCACAGGCAGGCAGGAAGACTCACCACCTTTCCCAGTACAAGGACCAAAAGGTAAAACCATCAAATAAACCAGGATCAAAACATGCAGAGCTGCAGTAGGTTGATGTGTGGAACCTGCAAACCATTTGTGCTGTGAATCTAAGAGTGGTTCAAGGCAGAGCCTGGACATACACTGTGGGTTAGTTAATACAAAGGAACCACTTCCAACTGAGTAATTCCTCTGAGCTGAGAACAGCTGGCTTTGGGGATAGTTCTCAGGAGCACCACATGCCCTGAGTTTCTGATTGTGGCTACCTTTGGAGAAAAATATGAATGAAACGGACTCTTCAGTTGATGATGCAAAGCTCCAGAATTTAAGAAAAACAAACTGTTATTCTCCTCCCAGTGTTGTTTAGACTAGGTCAAAACAAATCCTTTGCCACTTCAACAGAACTCCACTACATTCCACAGAGAGAAGGTTTGGCTAAGATGGACAGAGTAAGAGGAACACAGTCTTTGATCAGACACTTCTGCACCAATGCTTGTAACACTCAAGGCACTAAAGGAATACAATGCTGGCCTTGGGTATGACAGTAGGCAAAATAAGTACGTGTGGGGAAGCCCCTGCTCCTCCCCGGTGAATTCCACACAACCGACGTGAAGCAAGTGGGAAAAGTGAGCAAAGGGAAAATGGAATCAAGAAAGTGAACTTGAAGAGAATGGGTACATTGACATAACAATGCCCATATCCAATTCTGAGCCAACCAGCACTGAGGTTGTGCCTCAAGACCTTCTGCCCCTATCTAGTGACAAATCTAGGCCATCTGCTTGGCATGTGAATTGTCAGAGCCCTCACTAAGGTGAAACACTACTGTCTGTCTGTGGTTTGCTAACTTCCTGTACGCTTATAACCTGACACTGGCCTTTTGACCCAGCAGGGCAATTGCCATTTGCATTTTACCATACATTTCTTAAATCCAGACAGAGAGAAGAGTTTGGCAACAGCCTAGCCTGTCACTGTATGTGCCAGTCTCTTCTCCACTGCTAAACGGTAATAATGAAAAGCAGAAATCTTTTGCCTTTGGGCTTTTTGTCCACTTCTCATTTCAAAATGAAAACAAGTACTGTTCTTCTAATTTGACCTACACAGACTATTTGACAGATGTCAGCTTCTTCCCAGCCACAACAAAGCACCTCTTTGTCTATTCGGTTGACCAGGATGCTCTGATTTGATTTCCTCTCTGCAGGACACCTCCACTTTGCTTTCCCTCACAGAACTGTGCCTCATCAGCACTGTGTTTGGGTTGGTCTTCACAGTTCTGCATCTAAAAACAAGTGTGAAACAAAACTAGCAGAGGTTAACACTTGTATTATTTTGTGGGCATACCACGAACACTTTTAGCAGGTTTGGTGCACATTGCACTAAATAGGAAACTGGTAACTACAGTTTTGATATGGGCAACACTTCGCTGAGGAGACAGTCTAAAAAGATCCATTTGGATATAAAAGGAAAACATGAGAATACAGGACTGATAATCATCCTTGCAAATGTACGCTGGACCTACCGAAAACAGATTATACCTGGACAAAAAGAAACCATTCAAGTTCACCCAGAAATCTTGCAAAAATTAAACTATTTCCTCTGTAAATACAGCACGTGTTACATCCTGTCCTAATCCGTCCCCTTTATTAATAAACCTTCCTAACTTGACATTCAGCTATAACTCTCACAGTAATTCACTTTGTCATTCAGACTTGCAATCACCCCAAATTTTACCATAAAACAAAAGCCCTGACTCTGAAGTTCACAAAAAGCAGACTATGGTGAAAGGAAACACCAAGGCTCCCTACAGCTTAACTAAATTCACAGCTATTAAACAATTATCAATAAAATTTTTAGAAGGATGAAACTCGTGTCAGTTCCTAAGACATTAAATGACTTTCCCCAAGGACAGGCTGGTTTATAATCAGAATTTTTTTTCCTTTTAAAGTGTTCGCACTTAATGTTAGTCCTTTCAATGAAAGATTACTCCAAACACAGGTTTTGTGAAGAGATTTCCAATTGTCAACCATTTTCAGATCATTTTAGTTAACCCTCCAAAATGAAGACTTTCTCACAAAAAAACCCCCACTGACGTTCTTGCAGGGAAAAAAAAAATCCCTCTAAGAATTACTCACTTTGGGATTGGTTATTTTTGGCACTTTCTCTTGAAACAGGAGGTACTTACCCTAATCAGGGACGACATTCAACTAGTTTAATCCACTATCCATTCCCATATTTAAATACTAATACATTATGGAATCCATTGCATTTATCTGAACACTATTCTACTTGTAGCATCTATCAAACAAATACATTAATAAAACACTTCCCTGGAAGTGTTCAAGGCCAGGTTCAATGCGGCTCTGAGCAACCTGGTCTAGTGGAAGGTGTCCCTGTGCAGGGCAGAGGGACTGGAACTAGATGATCTTTAAGGTCCTTTCCAAGCCATTCTATGATTCCATGAACTACAGACTGCAACATGGAGACACAGATTACTGGTTTAACTCAGATACTGCCATGGCTGATCTTGCTCAACAAAAACCACAGCATCCTCCTATTTAGCAGGTTAGAGATTTTGAGTTTTACAATCACGGGGATTTGGGAAGTTTCCATTTTTTAAAATGGGAAGGATGGCAGGATCAAGAACCTCTGCTAACACTTGACTGAAGAGAAAGATCTGCAAAAGCAGAAGTCATTCAAAAATTCTTCAAAACAGAGTAAGAAAGAGCTAAATCAGACCATGACCAAAAAGTGATTCTACCCTTCATGAGACACATGAAGACACGTGAACCACTGCTGTGGTTGCTGCTCTACAGACAGTAACCTTGCACAAACATGTTACTACAGTAGGAGTCTGAAAAAAAGCCCTGCCCATGAACTGAAGTACCAAATACGACATTCACAGTGACTCTAGCTGAATACTGCTTTGTTCTGCTGATGGAGAAAAGAGGCAAGCACCTTGATCAACAAGATGCCAAATACCTCAACGAAACCACAACCTGCCTGCAAAATTCACCAGTCATCAGGTTTGCAAAGGGAGAAAGAGAAAAAAGAAAAATAAAAAAA